CAGCGGGACAATTAGTTCTTCAAATGATACCTTTAAGTTAATTTAATAGTTTTGTGATATTAATAATGCTAATATATTGCTATTTTTCTAATTTTGATTTAAGTTTGCTTGTTTTGCGTCGTCACAGTTGCTAGGTGACATGACGTACGCCGGGGTGGAGGGGAGGCTAAACCGTCCAAATTCACAGCCTCTTTTTTTTCCAGTCTTCCTGGCCTACCAAGGACCCGGCCCACCTCGACAGGGTAGTCTGGGTCCTCCGGAGGACCCGGCCTGTCGTTTTGGACAAAGCCAATGAAAATAGGCAGAGTCAGGTCTTGAAGATGATGATATAATGACGGTACTTCCTGAACTGAGGGGCTGAATGCAGAGATGAGCACTGAGCGATAAATCTGCCTTCAGACAGAGCGCTCTGTGTGGTTGTATGAATTCTTTTCACATTCAAACACTTATATATTGGTGTATTTTCTATCTGGTACAAACATGTAATAAGATAAACGAACATGCAATTTTCTCTTTCACCACTATTAGCGGATTAGTGTGCCCACCACTGGTCAATATGAAACTCTGAAATGCAGGTGTGCACTCACTGTAAGCAAAGCTTTCAGCTGAATCTGCTGAACAGCACGAGGAGACTTGGGTCACCTGACTGACCTACATCAGGCAGTGTAGGTAAACAAACATGGTGGAGTGGAACAAGTGTAGAATCTTATAGATGATGTTCATAAAAGACTCTTCTGTTAAATGCTAAGGAAGAYAAAAGAGTGAGTGAGACTATTCCCAGATCACATCACCATCCATCCATCCTAATGCTTGTTCCAGAGTCAGGTCTCAGGRCCAGCAGCTAGACCTCTCTTTCCCCAGCYACYTATTCCTATATAGTCTCTCCAGCATTTCCTTGGTCTACCTTGGGCTCTCCACACAGTTGGACAAGCCTGAAATACCTCCCAAGGTCTAGGAGACATCCTTACCAGATGTCCAAACCACCTCAACTGGTTTCTTGCAGTGTGGAGAAGCAGTGGCTCTGCATGAGCCTTTGTTGAACAACTTTTCACCCTATTACTACGAGGCCAGCTCCCCTGAGGAAATTTAATTTTGACAGGCTGTAACTAATATTTCGTTATTTTAGTCACTATCCAGAGTTTGTGACAATAGGTGAGGGTAATGTAAAATGACTATCTGCATACCATTACTCAACCAATTAAAGAGTAAATAATAGAGATGCAGAAATTTTCAGCCGATATCGATATCCGATATTATTGCTGTTATGCCCGGTAACCGATATTTACGAATATTACACAAACACACTTGGTTTTTTTTTTTTTTTTTACACGGTAAATAAACGACCAGACCTCTGACATGACTCCCTACTTCAGTTATTACTGGCTGCGCAGCATCAAGATCACTACCATGATCAAAACAGAAACACAAGCTAAAACGTGGGAAATCAATATCGGACGTTAATATCAGCCCAGTTTTACATATCGGACCGATACCGATATTAATGCCGATATATCGTGCCTCCCTAATAAATACATACAAATATATCAGAAATGATGGCCGTCCTCATCCCATGCAGGTCACTTTGGCTGTTTCAAACACACGGTCGTTCGCATCTGGTCACAAATTTTGCTAACATTTATTTAAGGACATTTTAACTATTGGTATGACCAAAATAACTGTGCTGTTTGATGTTGCAACAAAAGTTGCACAGACGTGTGTTTCAGCAACCAAGCAGCTCACAGCCACGTCTCAACCTTGCAAAAAGGGAAAACCACATGAGAGAAGTAATAAACACCTGGGGAGGAAGTGAAACTAAAAAAAATTTAAAAAAAAACCCACATTTGCTCAAGAGATGGGGCAGCGGGTCATGACGAACAGCCTGTGCTTTTCCTGTGAGTGCACAAACAKGCACTTAAAGAAAAGCAGAACAACAAAAGACACCTCTTATTTTGTGCGCCTAAAAACAAAACAAAACAAAAAAACTGGCAGCTCAAACTGCCACCTGCTGAAATCTGTGTATTGGCAGAAAGAGCATGGTTCAACCCTTGCATTAGTTGCCATGGGTTTCCATCCCCCACCCCCCCCCACACCCCTCTCCAATTATGATGTGAGAGCAGCCTGCATGCTGAGTAACTGCTACAAGGAAGCGCGCCGAAAATAGAGCCGACATGTTCAAGCTGCCACAACAGCCTGCCTGCCTAACCGTGCAGAGAGGACACCCTCAGCATATTGACTCGACTGTTTATCTC